CTCTCTGTCTCTCTCTCTCTCTCTCTCTCTCTCTCTCCTCTCTCTCTCTCTCTCTCTCTCTCTCTCTCTCTCTCTCTCTCTTCTCTCTCTCTCTTCGCCTCTCTCTCTCTCTCTCTCTCTCTCTCTCTCTCTCCTCTCTCCTCTCTCTCTCTCCTCTCTCTCTCTCTCTTCTCTCTCTCTCCTCTCTCTCTCTCTCTCTTTCTCACTCTCTCTCTCTCACAAAACGCATTCATCCCAAAATTGCAGACAACATTTATATTCACGTCCACATTAATAATTTCACGCTCATCACATGCTGCGTTTTTAACTACATAATTTGATTACGACAAATATTTTGCAACGTTGCAGGGATTAGAATGCAACACGTGATGCACTATTGTCGAGACTGCTTTGACCTTGGAGGGCTATACACACTCATGATCACAGGGTGATCTTGTTGTATCCGCGTCATTAACGAGTCACTTCCTCTTGCTTTTCTCTTTAACTCCCTCGCTGAAGTACTGCGTATCTTATTAACGTATTCGGGAAAGTATTGCGTACCTTGTCAACTCATTGTTGGTGTCGAACTGCGTATTTTGTCGCCTCATTGTTGGTGAAGAACTGCGTATTCTGTCAACTCATTGTTGGTGTCGAACTTTGTCAACTCATTGTTGGTGTCGAACTGCGTACTCTGTCACCTCATTGTTGGTGTCGAACTGCGTATTCTGTCACTCATTGTTGGTGTCGAACTGCGTACTCTGTTACCTCATTGTTGGTGTCGAACTGCGTACTTTGTCAACTCATGTTGGTGTCGAAATGCGTACTCTGTCACCTCATTGTTGGTGTCGAACTGCGTACTTTGTCAACTCATTGTTGGTGTCGAACTGCGTACTTTGTCAGTCATTGTTGGTGTCGAACTGCGTACTCTGTCATTCATTGTTGGTGTCGAACTGCGTACTTTGTCGCCTCATTGTTGGTGAAGAACTGCGTATTCTGTCAACTCATTGTTGGTGTCGAACTGCGTACCTTGCCAATTACGCTCGAGCAATGGACGGTAGAGCGTCCAACTTGGGTAAATAAATAGAAAACTACAGCAAAGCAAGTCCCTAGGACATGTGTTTCAGCGGCGGACTGAGATAGTCGAGGGTTGCAAATGGTGTAACTTTGAGGATAAGAATAGATTAGTTGCACCGAGCGTTCATTAACCTAGTCTGACGAGTATTGTTGGATAATTACTTGTTCTCCCCCAGTGTCTGTAAACTACATAGACGGGTCCAGGTAGTTTTGTTGTGTTCACCTAGTTGTGTTCACCTAGTTGTGCTTGCGGGGGTTGAGTTCTGCTCTTTCGGCCCGCCTCTCAACTGTCAAGCAACTGTCACTACACACATATAAATTGTAGTGGTACGTCACCCACAACACCTGAGTCATGAACAACAGGAGATTAACAGGTACTTACCTGGATGCCAATTTCAGTAGGACAAGCGACCCCTTTAACTTGTATATTAGACGTCTGCGGCTGTAGTGACTGCTGGAACCCCTGACGCGGCCTGGACGGCTGCGCCTCCTGCGGGAGCTTCTGTTGAACCTCAGGGGGATGTTGAACCTCCTCGGACGATACATGTTGCTGCTGGAGGTGTGGGAGTCTGAGATTCTCCGGAGGTTCTTTACGCTGGAGGGGAAGTGTCGTCCGGACGGGAGTGTTGACGGGAGGGTACAGGGACACCTCATCCCTCGTCGGCGCTGCCCTCAGACGGAAGACATGTACAGCTGGGGTACCAGACGTCGTCCCGGCCACCAACAACAGCAGCAGCAACACTCTGCAACGACAGAGGGATGACAGTGGTCATTATTGCTCACAAGTAACAACCATTACAATTGTATCACCAAGACATTCATCACTATCGCCACAATGGTGACGCTGTCACCATTAATATGACAGAATCACTGTTCTGTTATCCCTATCATCATTAGTTTATACGTCGTCACTATCATGGCTCTATTCATCCCATCACCATCAATACATCACTATCAATGCTCTGTGTTATCACTGCCTCGCTCTATATATACCTTAACTTGTTTCAAGTTATCCCTAACAATTACACCAACATAAACCAATCCTAATTCAATTTAACAATCGCCAAGCAAATCAAATTAACCATGACTAAAGAAAATCAACTTAACACACATCTAAATTGAACGACAGAAATTGCAAGGTTAAAAGGCAATTGAGAGACACATTACAACTTACTAACTGTTGTTGTTGTTGTAGATACAGCTACTTGGAACAAAATGTTCCATGTAGCACGGGCTATGGTGAGCCCGTAAGTGGACTTAGACTTACAGGCGTGAACACATCGTAGAAGGTTGGTGTCTGGAGTCAGCAGAGAGCCTCTCCTCGACGCCCTCACCTAGACAACTGGGTTGGCATGACCTGACCTCAGGTAAGAGGTCATCTGAGGTCATTAACCTCAGCCCAGATGAGCACCCGGGAGAATATCTTTGATAGGGATCCTACGGGCTGGGCTGATTGGTTTTTAGGATATATATATATATATATATATATATATATATATATATATATATATATATATATATATATATATATATATATATATATATATATATATATATATGTCGTAACTAGTAGCCAGAACGCACTTCTCAGCCTACTATGCAAGGCCCGATTTGCCTAATAAGCCAAGTTTTCCTGAATTAATATATTTTCTCTAATTTTTTTCTTATGAAATGATAAAGCTACCCATTTCATTATGTATGAGGTCAATTTCTTTTTATTGGAGTTAAAATTAACGTAGATATATGACCGAACCTAACCAACCCTACCTAACCTAACCTAACCTATCTTTATAGATTAGGTTAGGTTAGGTAGCCGAAAAAGTTAGGTTAGGTTAGGTTAGGTAGGTTAGGTAGTCGAAAAACAATTAATTCATGAAAACTTGGCTTATTAGGCAAATCGGGCCTTGCATAGTAGGCATAGAAGTGCGTTCTGGCTACTAGGTACGACATATATATATATATATATATATATATATATATATATATATATATATATATATATATATATATATATATATATATATATATATATATATATATGCGAACAAGCCTGAACGGGCTTGTATATATATGAATATATAACGCATTAGAGGGAATGTTTAGATCCCCTCCAATACAGTTTCTGTGTGCTTTTCTCCTACCACCCCCTCCGCCAGGTGTGTGTGTGTGTGTGTGTGTGTGTTTTTGTAGTTTGTGTGTATGTGCATGTACGTGTGAGTTTCTAGTTCTGTGTATATGTATGTATGTATGTGTGGGTTTCTAGTTGTGTATATGTATGTATGTGTGTGAATTTTCCTGATAGTGCCCACAGGCAGGGAGGGAGGGAGTGAGGGATATTAAGACGCGACTCCCAGCATTTGGATTCCATTTTCAGTTTCAATTTGCTCATGAATTTCCAGCGATACAAAATGTTACACATTTTCTGCAGATGTTCCCCCTGTCCCCTGGAGCCCCCCCCCCCCCCACAGGAGCCCCCCACAGGAACCTCCAGGCCCCTGTGGCTTGTGATAACAGGGTTTGTGATAACAGGGTTTGTGATAACAGGGGTTTGGGATAACAGGGTTTCTTAAAGAATTGTGTAATTACAGAAGGATATGCTCGTCCAAATAATTGTGTGAATAACGTAATAAATAACACATTGCTCCACAAACCATCAATTCCTGGACAAATTCTTAACAGCACGCCCAAACGCTTCAGTGACAAGACAAACAAGACAATACGTACAGCCCCGACCTGTAACACCACAGGACCGGGTAATCTCTCACATCACATCAAATAAAAAAAAAAGAATGATGCTAATTGAGTAAAGAAAATAATTTTTGTTTTTGTATCCTTTTGCATCTAGTGTCAATGTAATTAGTGGCCTAATGGGATTGATGGGCCGGGAACAGTGGTGTGCTCTGGGGGAAGGTGCCCTGGGGGTGTGCCCTGGGGGTGTGCCCTGGGGTTGTGCCCTGGGGGTGTGCCCTGGGGGTGTGCCCTGGGGGTGTGCCCTGGGGTTGTGCCCTGGGGGTGTGCCCTGGGGGTGTGCCCTGGGGGTGTGCCCTGGGGATGTGCTCTGGGGGTGTACCCTGGGGGTGTGCTCTGGGGGTGTGCCCTGGGGGTGTGCCCGGGGGTGTACCCTGGGGGTGTGCCCTGGGGGTTGTGCCCTGGGGGTGTGCCCTGGGGGTGTACCCTGGGGGTGTGCCCTTGGGGTGTGCCCTGGGGGTGTGCCCTGGGGGTTGTGCCCTGGGGGTTGTGCCCTGGGGGGTGCCCTGGGGGTGTACCCTGGGGGTGTGCCCTGGGGGTGTGCCCTGGGGTTGTGCCCTGGGGGTGTGCCCTGGGGGTGTGCCCTGGGGGTGTGCCCTGGGGGTGTGCTCTGGGGGTGTGCCCTGGGGGTTGTGCCCTGGGGGTGTGCCCTGGGGGTGTGCCCTGGGGGTGTACGCTGGGGGTGTGCCCTGGGGATGTGCTCTGGGGGTGTGCCCTGTGGTGTGCCCTGGGGACCTGGTCACTAATTGCTTCCACCTGGTCTATTTTTGGCTCATACTGACCTGATATGAACCTCTCGATTCTCATCTCACAAGCATTTTTTCCGTGTTTACGTGTCAGGCATTTGTTTCATCCAGTAGTAGAGTTGGGTTCCTTCTCGACTCACAATCGCGAATCCCGGGTTCGAATCCCGCCAGGGGCGGGGAGACAGAAACTGTTTGACTCGTTTCTTTTCACCTAATGCCTCTGTTCACCTAGTCATCAATAGGTACCACGGGAGTTAGTCAATTGATGCATCCTGGGGGAAGGGGAAGTAGTTCGACATTGAAGGGAAGGAGAGGCCTCGATATAAGCCTAACAACAACAAAACAGAGAGGTTTATAAACAAATGTGTACCCTGCTCTCCTGGCAAGAGTCCCCCGGCCACCGCCTCTCGCAGGTCAACCAGCTCCTTCAAAGACCTTCACGTGAAATCTTAAATGAATAGTAAGGAGGGTAGAAGAACAACGGCCTTCACAGACAACTATATGCCAACCCACGCCACTCCGGCCCACTTCTGCCCACTCCTGTCCACTCCTGCCTACTCCTGCCCACTCCTGCCCACTCCTGCTCACTCCTGTCCACTTCTGCCCACTCATGCCCACTCCTGCCCACTTCTGTCCACTCCTGCCCACTCCTGTCCACTCCTGCCCACTCCTGCCCACTCCTGCCCACTCTGCCCACTCATGCCCACTCCTGCCCACTCCTGCCCACTCCTGCCCACTCCTGCCCACTCCTGCCCACTCCTGCCCACTCCTGCCCACTCATACCTACTCCTGCCAACTCCTGCCCACTCCTGTCCACTCCTGCCCACTCCTGCCCACTCCTGCCCACTCCTACCCACTCCTACCTACTCCTGCCCACTCCTGCCCACTCCTGCCAACTTCTGCCCCATTCGTTAAAGCGAGAAGCGTGATACGAAGCCATACATGCGTGTTTGCTTAAAATTAAAGACATTTGTTTACAGTAAAATATCTGTAGGCACCTGGTGATTCAACCTGTCCTCACACTTAATGCTCGGCAATATTGACACTACCGACCTCAGCCGGGAAATTTACATGTTTTATTCAAATTAAAACTACCAACCCGCCAAACACACACCGAAACTACGACGTTGGTACAACGTTCGAACAAGTTTTAACACTTAATCCTAACCAGTTATAACAACTAATATAGCAAGTTGTAACAACTTTCTAATACGTCATAAACACATTAAGTCAAGATGTAACAACATTATTACAAGTTGTAACAAGCGGAAAATAGAGACAGTTTTGGTTTGTGTTTCCAGGGAAATTACTTACATTTTCCCGGACTAATGAGAATCGAGCAGACTAGGATCGTAACGCTATACGTTGTGCGAAACCACTTAAAATGCTACGCTTGTCAGGTAGTGAGAACGGCTATCTTGCGTTTCTGGATAGTTTCTACGTAGTTAGAAAGTCCATTATTTGGAAGGTTATATAATAGATATGGGATCCCTAGGGGTGTTTCTAGCGTAGGTTAGACACGTGTATAAATGAGTTTGGGTGGGTATATATACATAGCAGCTGACTCGTATAGACCAAAAGGTCTTTTCTGCAGTTTCTCTATTTCTATATTATTATGTATTGTATACTTTGTTCTGGAAGCATCTTAGAATTTTAAGAAAAAAATGGGGGGGGGGGGTCGTGGAGAATTTTTGTTTTTGATTGTGGGAAAATCTTCCCCCTCTTTTAACCCCCTCCCCATCAACCACAGCCACTCTCCCTCCGTGTGTTTGTTTGTTTGTTTTTCATGTCTCAACTGTTTCTTTCGTGAAAGGTTTTTTCACTGTTTAGTACCCAGAATTACGAGGTTTAATAGCAAGCATTTCCTTTTGAACATTAGATTTCTCTACGGAAAAGATTATTTTTATTCTGGTCGTGTGTATTGATCTGATGGTATATAGACCTTGTCGTTCAGGTCAATATACCACCAGATATGGTCGTTATGGTTGATATGGTCGTTCACTAAGCTTGCTGTTTATAAACTTGGTCGTTTAGTGGTCTAGTAATTTATTAATCTGGTCGTTTTTTTTTTTATCTGGGTTGTCTAATGACCTGATCAGTCATCAACCTGGCCGTTGTTTCACCTGGTCGTTCGTTCACCTGGTCGTTCGTTCACCTGGTCGTTCGTTCACCTGGTCGGTCAATGACCTGGTTGTGGGAACCTTTCATCTGAAGCACCAAATAGTTTAATATTAAAATGCCACTTTTTAATGTTTTGTATTAGTAATTAGTGCTTAATTCACCATGTTCTCGTCGCAGTGTTGGAAAAATTATCATACCGAAAAAAATTGAATCTTTTAATTTTCAGACTTTTATGTCATAAACGCACGAGTTAACACAATTCCATAGACTCTCGCTTGTACACATGTCACTATAAACTCTTCAGACCCTCAAGGATTCGAACCTAGGCGGCCAGGGGGTCTCCCACTGGTCGTCGCAACCTGTCCTCTTAAAAAAGAACGTCGCTTTTGGCCGTTTGGCCGTATGGCCGAATATGGACGTAATTTGAAAATAAAAAAAAAATTAAAATAAATTTAGGATTTTTTTTTCAACAACAGTAAGTTAAGGGTCCTCTGATAGGTTAGGTGGGCAGGAAATTCTCATAAAGTTTCAAAACGGTATGAAAAACGTTAATGGAATGTTTCCTTTTCTAAGCTTGCCGAGTAAGCCGGACGACTCAAACAGAAAACGGAACAGAACGTCACTTTTGTGAGTCGATTTCATTTCAAATTACGTCCAAATTTGGCCATAGTGTGCATACCAGCGAAAAGTGACGTTCTTTTTAAGAGGACGGGTTGGTCTAGTACCAATACCACTCCACCGTCGATTACCTAATGGTGGAGACCCTGGCTGCTAAAATTCGAATCCTTGAGGGATCAGACGCTAGAGGCTAGCCTCTCGAAATTTTGCAGGACGAATTGGTTAAAGACAGTACAAAGAATGGTAGGGGTCAAGCCCTCTACCCTCCCCCCCCCCCCCCCCCTGTTTATTAAATAGTAAATTCCACTAATTTCCAATCTCACTATATATATAAAAATCCATCTTCACTAAGTTTCATACATGAATGGAGATTAAAAGAAATTACACATGAGTCACTAACTTCAAAAAAATATATATATAATATAAAAGAGCAGTCAAATATTTAGGACAAAAATATCTTCAAGCTTCAACAAATTCCCAAAGTAGAACTTTAGCAAGAAAAGACTGCAAATGTTTTGCAAATTGCGAGATGCTGGCTGGTGCAAAAATACGCATTGCAAGTTGCAGGAACGAAGTTGAAAATAGCTCTTTCTCGGTATTGCTCTGTGCAACTGCTGCCTCCTGACTTCGCTGATTACTAGATGGAAGTTATCAAGGAAAAGTTAAATATCTCTCAATTTACGGAATTTATATAAAGATATTTTAATGAGTTGCAACGGAGCCACAGAGTGCTTAGGAATAAAATAAAAAATAACACAAAACATACAAAAAAAATAATAGGGGTGGTAGGAGAAGAAAAGATTAAAGAAGTGTTCAGTGAGAATCCACAAGGTCTTCTCTGAATACTCTTTATTTTCTTCTTCGAGGATGTGGGTCCCTACAATTGCACCAATATATATATATATATATATATATATATATATATATATATATATATATATATATATATATATATATATATATATATAAATCATCGATAGATACAGCGATAGCAGGCGGCTTGACGTTTGCGAGGCACTACACATCAAGAAGTCAACACCAGCAATCAACAGCCAATTATTGCACAACTATATTCTACCCACCTCAAGACTCCGCTCCAATATATATATATATATATATATATATATATATATATATATATATATATATATATATATATATATATATATATATATATATATACTGACAAAGAAAAGAATAGATAAACATAAAACCTGACGATGCAATGAATTGCATTTTAAACATTTCCTAGCCCCCCCTACTCATCCACTCTCATCCACTCTAGTGAGAGTGTCTCATCCACTCTCGCACTCCCTCTCCTTCCTCCACCACTCAGTTTCCCTACCTCACTACACCCACTCTCCTCCCCGCACCCCATCACCCCTTCCCTTACCCCCCTTCCACCCACCATCCCACGCGGTCCCCAGGCGCACCCAGCGAGGTCAAGCTCCTGAATCAATCATCAGGTCAACCTGTGGTCCAGTGTCTGATTGGCCGGACATACCTGAACATCGTCACAGCTGATCTCTAATTTCTACACTCCCCCACGCCATGGATATCCTTCTACGTACTAACATTGAGATTAAAATGGAGTCCAAATTGCGCATTTTTTGATCAATAAATGTGACATATTATGGCTGATAGTGCTCTAATTCAGCGGGGTTATTTTTGGTGGGATTCGTAACGAGACGTGACCCTGTTCTGTGCTCCTCCTGCAGCGTTGGCGACGTGGCTCGCCTTAACAGCTTGCGTCTACGGCAGGAGCCGCCTGGAGGAGGTCCCTGGGAGCGCCGCCCCCGTGTGTCAGCCGTCAACCAACTGGGTCAGGGTGAGTCCACCTGTACCTCACCTGTGTTAGTGTCAGTGTACACCTTGTATGTGCATGCACGAGTCATTATACAAGACACGTTGTATGAGTCTGTAATCATTGTATCACTGTTCGATCGGGAGCCGATCGGCCGAGCGGACAGCACACTGAACTTGTGATCCTGTGGTCCCGGGTTCGATCCCGGGGGCGCCGGCGAGAATCAATGGGCAGAGTTTCTTTCACCCTATGCCCCTGTTACCTAGCAGTAAAATAGGTACCTGGGTGTTAGTCAGCTGTCACGGGCTGCTTCCTGGGGGCTGGAGGCCTGGTCGAGGACCGGGCCGCGGGGACACTAAAGCCCCGAAATCATCTCAAGATAACCTCAAGGTAAGCCTTATAGTGACCATTGCTAGTCGAAATGAAATGACTCTAAATGACCCCAGCCAAGATTCGAACCCATATGACACCCAGCATCCCCCACCCCCTCCAAACTATACCAACTATATCTCATCTGAGGGGGATACAGTACTGTATCCCCCTCAGATGAGATATTGAGGTACTCTCCTAGTTGCACTCACCTAGTTGTGTTTGCGGGGGTTGAGCTCTGGCTCTTTGGTCCCGCCTCTCAACCACGGTGGCCACAGTGTCGTGAACGTCTGGTTTAAGTAACACTTAGCTTACCAGGAGCTTAAATTTTTTTGGCGTTGAGGGGGCAATGACTGATTCTTCCTTCCTTCCTGGGTGGGGCGGTGACCCAGGTGAGGAACACCCAGGTGGTGCCGACGGTGGTGTACAGGACGTTGACGACCCCAGAGGTGACGGTGGTGACGACCTTCCTCACCAGGACCGTGGTGAGCCCCTCCACCACCACCCTCACCACCTCATCAACTCTCTCCCTCAACCCCTCAGTGAGTGAAGAGTCACACACAACTCCAATTGTGCTGTAGGAGCTTTTGCATAAGTTAAACTGTTTAGCTAGATTAACCTAACCCAGTCTAACCTAACTTAACCTAACCTAACCTAACCTAACTCAACCTAACCTAACTTAACCCAACTCAACCTAACCCAGCCTAACCTAACTTAACCTAAAACAAACCTTCCCTGCCTAACCTAACCTAACCTAACTCAACCTAATCTAACCTAACCTAACCTAACCCAACCTAACCTAACCTAACCTAACCTAACTTAACCTAACTCACCCCAGTTTAACTGCAACGTAGGGTGAAGGAAGTGTAGAATATTTGCAAATAGAAAAACATAGAAAGACCATAAGAATGGAAGAAACTAAAGAAGGCCTTGAGGTCCAATGTAGGCAGCTCCTGTGCAGATTCATCAACGTTCACTCGTGTATTCATCAACGTCCACTCGTGTATTCATCAACGTCCACTCGTGTATTCATCAACGTCCACTCGTGTATTCATCAACGTCCACTTAAGTATTCATCAACGTCCACTCGTGTATTCATCAACGTCCACTCGTGTATTCATCAACGTCCACTCGTGTATTCATCAACGCCCACACGTGTATTCATCAACGTCCACTCATGTATTCATCAACGTCCACTCATAATTTCATCAACGTCCACTCGTGTATTCATCAACGTCCACTCGTGTATTCATCAACGTCCACTCGTGTATTCATCAACGTCCACTCGTGTATTCATCAACGTCCACTCGTGTATTCATCAACGTCCACTCATGTATTCATCAACGTCTACTCATGTACTCATCAACGTCCACTCATGAATTCATCAACGTCCACTCATGTGTTCATCAACGTCCACTCATATATTCATCAATGACCACTCGTGTATTCATCAACGTCCACTCGTGTATTCATCAACGTCCACTCGTGTATTCATCAACGTCCACTCGTGTATTCATCAACGTCCACTTAAGTATTCATCAACGCCCACTCATGTATTCATCAACGTCTACTCATGTACTCATCAACGTCCACTCATGAATTCATCAACGTCCACTCATGTGTTCATCAACGTCCACTCATATATTCATCAATGACCACTCATGTATTCATCAACGTCCACTCATGTATTCATCAACGTCCACTCATGTATTCATCAACGTCCACTCATGTATTCATCAACGTCCACTCATGTATTCATCAACGTCCACTCGTGTATTCATCAACGTCCACTCATGTATTCATCAACGTCCACTCATGTATTCATCAACGTCCACTCATGTATTCATCAATGCTCTCTCGTGTATTTGTCCTACAAACAAAACAAAATAGCTGTTAATATGATAGTGTAGAATTGTAATCTGCTTTTGTTTTTTTAGCAGTTAATAATATTATACATTTCTGTTGTGTTTGTTTTGTAAAGAAATAATTTGTTTGTATATTGTGTGTGTGTGTGTGTGTGTGTGTGTGTGTGTGTGTGTGTGTGTGTGTGTGTGTGTGTGTGTGTGTGTGTGTGTGTGTGTGTGTGTGTGTGTGTGTGTGTGTGTGCGTGCGTGCGTGCACAGATCCAGGTGGTCACACACCACGTAACCACGACCCTCTACGTCACGTCTGCGACGCTCTACACCGTCACCGACCTCAGCGCCGTCACCTCCTCCCTCCACCTGACGGAGGTGGTCCTCGACACCACCTACGTCACCCACACCAAGACGGTCGCCCAGTACTTGACGCTGACGCAGACGCTGACGCAGTTCCTCAACTCCACCTCCACCTCCTACCTCACTACTGCCTCTCTCAGCACTGTCACTCAGGTCAGTCACTCGCTACGTCACTCAGGTCAGTCACTCGCTACGTCACTCAGGTCAGTCACTCGCTACGTCGCAATGGAAGGTCGACGGTCTCTACAGTTTTATTACTAGTAATCATATACTTAGTTTGTAAGTTTAATAAAAACCAAGATTATTATTATTATTATTATTATTAGTAGTAGTAGTAGTAGTATTGTTATTATTATTTAATTATTGTTTAAAATCATTATATCGTAGGTCATTAAGCTTGACCTGTGGAGTTCCATAAATAATATACATTTGACTGACACTCTCAAGACAGCAGATTTCTCGTACGGAACCGGTTCATCATGCATGTATAACTTGCTACTCTTATGAACCCCGGAGGGTACATTTGCTGAACCCATCATGATGGGACTGTGCACCCATACCGCCATCACCCACTAGATGGGTATACACAGAAATACACTTCATTACACACAGAAATGTGTGTAATGAAGTATGGGCGAAGAGGGATAATGGCCTGTTGACATAGCTCGAGTGCATGAGGGGGAGTTGTGTAAAAACCCTGGTTTGTGTCTCGGAGAGGCTGCAGGATCCAGTAAGTTCAGTAGAACTTCGGTTTCTCACTCTTTTGACCATGTTGTAGCTCAGTCGATTAAGGCAGCGTCTGGGATGCTCCCGGACGCAGGTTCGAATCCTCATCACGGCCCTTGTGGATTTGTTCATAAGATGGGTATATATATATATTGGAGGTCCATCAACTAATTAGACTTAGAAAAATAATATTTATAAACCCCTTAATTTTAGCTTGGCAATTTTTACCATGATAATTGCCTCTCTTCCCTCCCTCAGACACGGACACGGAGCGAGTACGTGACGGTGACCGACACGGAGGAGTACCCGGTATTCCAGACCTTCACTGAGACCAGTCACGCCCAGTCCTGGACCGTGGTGACCGTGACGTCCACCCGCAGACCATCGTGCTTCTGGTGAGGATGACCCTGGGGGAGGCTCCCATCCGTGTCCCCTGGGAGGTGACCATGCAGCCACCTTCCAATCGTGCCCTGGGAATGTGGGGGCAAGGTCGTCCCAACCTGAACTCATGGACGTGGGCTCTTGAGCCGTCGGACCCTAACTGTTGGGAACCTGTGTGATTCAAGTTCGTCCCAAACCTGCCCCCTGGCATGTGGCTCAGAGACATAGTGTACCTTTGATACCCTTACCCTTACATGGGTATGTGTGTGTGTGTGTATAAGAGGAATCAGTAAAGTCGTCTGTATGGGAGAGACTTCAGTAAAGTCGTCTGTATGGGAGTGACCTCAGTAAAGTCGTCTGTATGGGAGTGACCTCAGTAAAGTCGTCTGTATGGGAGAGACTTCAGTAAAGTCGTCTGTATGGGAGAGACTTCAGTAAAGTCGTCTGTATGGGAGTGACCTCAGTAAAGTCGTCTGTATGGGAGTGACCTCAGTAAAGTCGTCTGTATGGGAGTGACCTCAGTAAAGTCGTCTGTATGGGAGTGACCTCAGTAAAGTCGTCTGTATGGGAGTGACCTCAGTAAAGTCGTCTGTATGGGAGAGACTTCAGTAAAGTCGTCTGTATGGGAGTGACCTCAGTAAAGTCGTCTGTATGGGAGTGACCTCAGTAATGTCGTCTGCATGGGAGTGACCTCAGTAAAGTCGTCTGTATGGGAGAGACTTCATTATATTCATCTGAGTGTGGGAAAGATAGTGCAATCGGCTGGTAAGAGTTAAGTGATGTGTGATGTCACTACGCTCCGTACAGGTGACATCCCTACCTCCCTCAGAAGGCATCACTGATCCATCAACAGCTAGCAATACTAACCATAAATTGATGTCAGTGACCCATAATCAACTGACATCACTATCCATCAGACTGCTGAAAGAATACTTCCTTCAGACACTTCATGTGCTTCCTGTACGCCGCTTCCTGATGTCTGATGTCATTGCTCCCACTCTTCCTTTTCTAGAGCGTTGATGTCACTGTCTTTCTCTTCTCTTAACCGTTGACATCACCAGACAGTTGACATCACCAGACAGCTGACATCACCAGACAGCTGACATCACCAGACAGTTGACATCACCAGACAGCTGACATCACCAGACAGCTGACATCACCAGACAGCTGACATCACCAGACAGGTGACATCACCAGACAGGTGACATCACCAGACAGGTGACATCACCAGACAGGTGACATCACCAGACAGCTGACATCACCAGACAGCTGAAATCACCAGACAGGTGACATCACCAGACAGCTGACATCACCAGACAGCTGACATCACCAGACAGCTGAAATCACCAGACAGGTGACATCACCAGACAGGTGACATCACCAGACAGGTGACATCACCAGACAGGTGACATCACCAGACAGGTGACATCACCAGACAGTTGACATCACCAGACAGCTGACATCACCAGACAGCTGACATCACCAGACAGCTGACATCACCAGACAGGTGACATCACCAGACAGTTGACATCACCAGACAGCTGACATCACCAGACAGCTGACATCACCAGACAGGTGACATCACCAGACAGCTGACATCACCAGACAGCTGACATCACCAGACAGCTGAAATCCCCAGACAGGTGACATCACCAGACAGCTGACATCACCAGACAACTGACATCACCAGACAGCTGACATCACCAGACAGCTGACATCACCAGACAGTTGACATCACCAGACAGCTGACATCACCAGACAGCTGACATCACCAGACAGCTGATATCCTAATCTTTGTCTTGTGATTATCTCCACCACCGCTGAACCTTAAGCAGTTGGGCTGTTTCTCAGTACATCGTCTTTTGGCAAAACTTGAACCAGCGCGAACCAGAATCTTTCGTTCCTGTTACAACGACAGAATTTGTGTTCCACAGAGAGAGAGACAGACGGCCACAGAGGTCAGAGGGGGGGGGGGGCGGGGGGGGTGGGGATATATGAACCAGTGTTCCACGGGACTGTTGTTTCACGCACTTCTCTTACATTTCCCGGAATGAAATTGAAAAGGCATGAACACATTCAAAATATAAATGGGAGTTTCGTAAACTGTTTTTGTTAGGGGGATATGTTGCAAAAACAAAACAAATAAAAAGTTGTGTGCCATTTTGTTGATGGTGTTCGGTGTCGTATGATGTATATATATAAATTGATTTAATAAATGATATAATACATTGTTAGTTTGATACAATCTTTAATAGATTATGGGTTAAGAGCACCGTTTTAAGTTTCACTATCTATAACTATATGTCCACATCTAAATGTGTATATAAGGAAGCTAGCTCCTGAGCCCCGCCTTACCAACTGTCGAGAATCTTGCATTTCTTAGGGTTCATTTTTGCATCAACCCAAACCTTGATATGAATGTATCAACGCCCGGTTTTTATGTATTATAATAACCGGTACAGGGCCAAGAACTGCACCTTGTGGTGCCTCAATCGTGATGACCTTCCACTCTGAAGTCTCCACTCTTACCATAACCCTCTGTTTCCAATTTGATAGATACTCTCTTTTTCCATTTTTACACCCAGATACTGCTTGATTTTTTTTAGATTCATACCTGTCTCTTGAATAGAACTTTGCGAAATGCCTATCAATCTCTGGAAGGTTATTAGAGCCACTAGTGACCAACCAGCAAATTTACTTTAGTCCTAAACATACTTCATGGTATATCTATCCCTGTGCAAAAAATGAGAGTGAGGATATTGTCTTATATATATCTAAAGATGTCTAATGTTTCCTTTCATGTGGAGCTACGGCTCGGCCCTTCAAGATAAGTTGCCAAGAAGGGCTAGAGTGTGGGGGGGGGGGTGGGGGGGGGGTAGGGGGATAGCTGCCAGTGGACGTCCATATCATTAAAGGACGCAGAGACTAACAGTCTGGTCCTAGATCCTTAATAACATATGGGTTAAGGTGAATTATTGTAGTGTTTCCATTACGATGGCATAAGTGGACATGAGGGAGCTGGTATGAGAAGCAAACACTAAGGAAGAACGATCCAGGAAGTACTAGTGGAACCAACAGCTTTGTTAAGAGGCGGTGTAGTCATTTGATGCTAGTGCTGGTTTATGTGGTTCTTTCAGCTTCCTTGACCAACAAGTCATTGCGCTTCCATAATTTTTTATACCCGTCTCGTGCTGGTTCTTCAGTTGCCACAGAGGAACTTGTACGGGGTATGTTTGTCTTCGTCACACAGTACACAAGTTCTTGACCTTTTAACGGCTGCACTTCAACACTCATCCTCAGCCTAGTGAGGCTGAGGATGAGTGTTTTCACTCATCCTCACTAGTTTTATGAGTGTTTTCACTCATAAGATCACTAGTTTTTTCCTGTGCAATCTCTTTTTTTTTTAGGGATATGAGCATTCTTCATCTTATTATGTGCATTGACGTCTCCTATTAGAATAATATCAAAGGTCTCATTCTGGATACAGTTACCTAGATGATGTAAACCTCCGTGGTCGCTGTAGCAGGTAACGGGTGATGCTACTTGTGGCAGCCTCCATGTTGACGCTAGTGTGTTCTGCGTCACGGGAGCCAAAATTACCCAGAGACCCACAAATAAACACAAAAAAGGGCCAAGTTTGTCATCACATGCTACACTGATGATGCTGGCAGATGGGGGGCAAAACTACATGTCTGTGTTTTTTTCCGAAGGTGTCTAAGAATTCGTTAAGTAAACTCGTTACCTGATGTAGGTTCATGTCTCCCACGAGGCTGAAGTGCTGACGACAGTGTTTTGATGTAGTAACTCGTCTAGATTTATGAGCTTTCGTCCATAGACGATAGAAGGTCATTTATACGCAACTGAACAGTTACTTCCAGTGGTTCAGGAACCTTCTTCTTCTCTGTTAGATTGTCTCTTCTGTACCGTTTAGAGTATTCGTTGACTCACGAAAAAGAAACTCTCAACAGGAGCCACTGTTACTAAGAGTTGTTTACCTGTGTGGGATGACTCCAATGTTAGTATGGAGAACTCTAATGCTCTCAGAGATTATTATTAATTATTATTACAGTTCCAGGTAATAGGAGTATTATTAATAATACTCTTATTACCAGTCTCCGTGGTGTAGTGGTAAGACACTCGCCTGGCGTTCCGCGAGCGCTTTGTCATGGGTTCGTATCCTGGCCGGGGAGGATTTTCTGGGCGCAAATCCTTAACTGTAGCCTCTGTTTAACTCAACAGCAAAATGGGTACTTGGTTGTAACAACGATTCTTCGCGGCGGGAATCGTATTCCAGGGACCTGCCCGAAACGCTACGCGTACTAGCGGCTGTACAAGAGTGTAACAACTCTTGTATATATCTCTCTCAAAGATAACTGAGAAGCTCTTGGTTTCTAGTTAATTATTTAACATTACAGCGTACCGGTGCAGAGTGTTATCCTACGTACAGACTGGTGTCCCTACGATATAGAAGCTTTTCTTAATCTTATCCGGCGAGTGACAGGGTCGAGTTGTATTGTGGTGGAATGTATCGTAAATTAGTCTGAACTCCATACAGATATCTCTTGTTAATATCCCTTGTTGATATCACTTGTTTATATTACGCTAAACATATCTCAGGAAATATTACATAAATTATGAGCACTTTAGACAATTAGATAAACATTGCGACGTTTCAATAATATTTTAGACAGTGACTAGCTGTGTGTGTGGTGTAAATCCAGTGAAACAGAATGTAAGTTTTGTATAATTAACGAAGAAAGCTGAAACTGGAAGCTGCTTTGTAGTTTCTGAGAATATTTAGCACATGACCATTACGTAATAGGGAGAACCAGCTTAGAGGTCGTGTGTGTCTCAGTTATAGGGTTTCTACTGGTAATGGGGCTAGAGCCCATTCTCAGGGGTCTCAGCCTTCCACGCAGCATCCGACCTTCCAAGTAATGGAGTTGAGAAAGGGTTCCAGAGGAAGTATATTTGAGTTAACTCTTAGTGTATAAGCACATAGAAGCGGAGTATA